GAACTGGGCTGGAAAAAATCTCACAAACCGGTCTGATAGCGGTCTTGTAAAATATGAAAGAGAGCTTTATATGGGACCTTGTTTCTGCCACTGGAAAAAAAAATACCTAGCATACCTAAGTCAATACATTTGGGTTACTATCTCAAAATTTCAACTTAATAACTTGAGACTCAAAGTTATTTTCTCAGTCTTGAGTTATTTTGTCAGAAGTTTGAGTTAGTAAGTCAAACTTTTGACAGAAACAAGGTTCCATACCTTTATGTATGTGTACTACTTTAAATATATCACATGACTTTGCCTGTTCCCTCCAAAGAGGGATCATGTGCAGTTATCTCATGGATTATCAGGCTGAGCATGTGGTCGTCTGGTAGATTACCAGGTCTGCTCAGCAGAGAGGAAGAAATCCAGTCTTGTTCCTCGCTTCCACGGTGGCCAGCATGGTAGAAATGCAGTGATCCAGGGTGGAGTTTATACATCAGGTTTGTGAACAGACTGTCTGGGATGTTGGACAAACCACATGTTCCCTGTCTGCGGTTTTTCCACGTTTCACAGCTTAAGAATAGACTGGCCATCTGGTCATTTCATGTGCTGAAACAGCAAAAATATAAACATTTAAATCCCTGTTTACCTTTTCTGTAGAATGATGGAACCACCTAAGAAGCTAAGAATTAATCACATCTTGTCACTCGTTCTCTTTCACTTCAGAGACTTGGCTCTGGCAATTCTGATTCACATGTGCTGCAGGCTAGCTACGGTGCACCTCTACAACATTTTAAAAAGAGGGGGGAAAAAACCTTAAGATGTTTTGGAGTTTGAATGGGTAGCTATGCATGCATGAACAAAGAAATGAGACAACATTCAGAGCTTCACAATGACTCACAATAACTGTCAAAGTGAAATGACAATAAACGCTAATCCATGTCCTCTTGTTGTTTCTGTCTCAGTCCACTGAGCAATGACTTTGTCACTGCCACAAGTTTAGCCTACTGCAGAAAAAAAGTAAAAGGTACGCTATATTTCCAAAAGTATTTGCTTGTCTGCCTTTACATGATTATGAACTTGAGTGACATCCCATTCTTAATCCACAGGGTTTTATATGACGTCGGCCCACCCTTTACAAACAGCTTCGACTCTTCTGAGAAGGCTTTCTAAAAGGTTTAGGAGTTTGTTTATAGGAATTTTTGACCATTCTTCGAGAAGCCCATTTGTGAGGTCAGACAGTGATGTTGAACAAGAAGACCTAAATTGTAGTTTCCACTCTAATTCAACACAAAGGTTGAATTAGATTTGATTGAGGCCAGGACTGTGTGCACGCTAGTCAAGTTCTCCCACAAGAGACGCACTCATTCATGTCTTTACGGACCCTGCTTTTTGTGCACTGGTGTGCACGTTGGAACAAGATGAGGCCATCCCCAAATTTGCACAAAGTTAAGAGCTTTAACTTGTCCAGAATCTCTTGGTATGCTGAAGCAGTAAGAGTTCCTTTCACTGGAACTAAGGGGTTGAGCCCATCTCCTGAAAAACACCTGAAAAAACTACACCAAACTAACAAACTAATCTCCCCTCCATCAAACTTGACACTTGGCACAAGGCAGCCAGACAATTAGTGTTCACCCAGCAACTGCCAAACCCAGACTCATCCATTGGATTGCAGGACAGAGAGGCTTTATTCATCACTGCAGAGAACACATCTCCACTTCTCTAGAGTCCAGTGGTAGGATGGTTTACACCATTGCATCCAACACTTTGCATTACGTAAGGCTTGTATGCAGCTGCTCACCATGGAAACCTGTTTCATGAAGCTCTCCACAAACTATTCTTGAGCTGATCCGACGGCCACATAAAGTTTGGATGTTTGTAGCAATTGACTCTGCAGAAAGTTGGACCTGTGCATATTATGTGCCTCAACACCTGCTGACTGTGATTTTAAAAGCCAAAACCCCCCAAAAAAGTGCCAATGGTCCCAAATCCAACCAACGGGGTAAAAAAACAAAAAAAAACAAAAAAAAAAATATTAAGTAAAAAGGAAATTTCATGACTTGTTGCATGGCTGGCATCCTATCATGGGATTATGCTGGAATTCCTGAGAGCGACACATTCTTTCTAAACCATTTGTAGAAGCAGTCTGAATGCATATGCACTTCATTCTACCCCCCTGCGTCAGTGGAATTGATTGGAACACCTGAACTCAATCATTTGGATGGATGAGTGAATATTTTTGGCAATATGGTGTATGTGGATTTGTCCTGACATATCAGTTTAAATGTTTTTAAAGACATCTATTGGTAAAAAGTGGAAATCAAGGACAGTATTAGTGTTGGACACTTGTGAAATGTAAATGTGTTTTTTCACCTACCTCTGCAAATAATTAGAAAAACTTGTAAGTGGACATTTACTGGAAATTGATGTGGACAGGCTTGGGGATAGTGTATATTATTTTACATACATAATTAAAGGTTTTAGTGTTGAAGTCAGCAAGCCTGCTGGTGACTCACCATGAATCACTGATTCCCAGACTGGATTGGATCTCACTGCAGAGCTCACTTCTCTCTCACTGTAGCTGTTGTGACTGCTTGCAGGAGTTGGAGACAGGTGTGATGGTGTGAGAGCAGAGCTTCCCAACCTGGAGATCAATCCTGTCTTCTTCTTTTTGTAGTTCTGTCTGCTCTAGCAACCCTTGAGCCTCCCTTCCTTCAGTAATGTACAACTCTTTAACACATTCACCAAATAAAAGATTATTGTATCTCTCTGGGCCATCTTACGTCAGTGGAAGATGGCCAATTTAAGAAGAAGGCTGCAATCATGCTGCAGACATTAGCACTCAGAACTCTCCGTCTTCTCTCCTCCCACTTTCTGTCTCTTACTTTCTGACTGGATTCCTTCTGTCTCTCTCTGTGTGACTGTTTTTCTCAATCTCTGCTCCAGCCCTCAGCCTCAGGCTCAAAACAATCTCCCATGCCCATGCCAGTGTCACCAGGTGGAGGTGTTTTTAGTGGACTTCAACAAACTGTCAGACCACCAGTTTTGCTCTGTGCATTGATCTTTTTGTTTCTTTGTTTTTTCCTTTCTTTTTGGGTTTGTTTTTGACTTTTATTTTATTTATTTGAAGTTAAAGTACAGACTTTCTTTACTTAAGTACAAATACAGATACCTGTTAATGGGTCTGTGGTCTGTTAATGGGTCTAGCACAACCCTTCGCTGGAACGAAACAATCCTACTACAACAGCAAAAGCAAGATGCAAGTCATCAAAGTTATTTGTATTACTCGTGCACAAGGAAGAGAACTGTGACAAGCATGTTCCTGTCGCTCACCCCAGTCGCTCTCGTCTGCTCTCTCGTAACACTGCTCTTTATTGAGGTTACATGAATATGCATAAGTTCATTAACATATGACATCTCAAAGAGTACCAGTCTGTGCATAGTGTAGGTATGTGTGTGGGGGGGAGGGGACTCCCCAAAGCTGGTTCTAGGAACACAGCGGTCCACCTAAACAAAGGGCCCTTATACTTAACCAGATGACAATCAACAATATAAACCTAACACCTGTGTTTAAAAAAGTACTCCAGTAAATCTTGAAGTACTGACTCCACTTTACTCAAGTGAAAGTGAAAAAGTACAGACTCTGAAATATACTCAAACTAGGTGATTAAAAAGTAGCTCTTTGAAGTAAAATTCTACTCACCATTTTTATACAAAGGTAACTGAACCTTGTGCTATATTAATGCAATAATAAAACAAAGATATATTTTGAAAAGTCGAAAGTCCACATATTTGTGTAAAGACGTAGGGAGCAAGGGCAAAAGGTTGTTTGAGAAAAAAAATACGTAAGTACAGAAAGCTGAAAATTCTAGAGTAAGTATTTGTACTTACTTCCCACCTTTACATGAGAACTATTGCAGACACCGATAATAAAATGAAATCAATAAAAAGACAATAAATATCGAAAACTATCTAATGTTTGCGCAATGAAAATGAAAACAAGAACAGATTCCCAGTGATGTTTTTTTATTTAAAAAAAATGTTTATACGTCTTTTAAACTCTGTAAACAACTGAGAGAGCTTCGTAAGGTCTCTCATGACGAGCCTTCTCTAAACGAACTGATAGATAAGGTGGAGGAAATGACGTCATGAGAAAGTAAACTATGAATAAACTGTTTACATAACATGTAATCTGATAAATAGGTGTTAGAGTTTTACTAATCTGAATGCTGTGGACTCCTTGAAAGTCATCCTTGTTTTGTTTCGTTGTTATTGTGGTTTTGTTTATTTGTTTGGTTGGTTTTTGGTTTGGTTTTTGTTTTGTTTTGGGGAGTTTTGTGTGCTTTTTGGTGCAGGGTTTTTCTTATTCACCGCCACAAACGGGAACAGAACCTCCCGTTCTTCAGAGATGTAAATCTATTTGTCCTATTTCCTGTCTCACAGTCTGTGCGCCCCTCGGTTCACTTTTTCTTGTAGACTCCTCGTGCGTAAAACCATGACAGGTTTTACGCACGGAGTTGTTCTGTGTTGCTGTTTACTTTGTCTTACAATGTCTTACCATCCAGAGGTCAGTTACGATGGCGCAATTAAAATAACAAGTGGGAGCCTGCTGTGGTCTTAATGCAGATGAGTTCAGCATCTGCGATATCTCTCTTTAAATACCCCACTGTCACAGCTGGGTCGCTGACACAGAGTTCACATCAGACAGTGTGGTGGATGTCTGACAGCAGGAAAGTAGTTTTTCACACACTGAGGGTCAGAGTGCGATGCTCTAGAGAGTGAGAGGGTACAAATTTCTTTTTAATGTCGCATCTTTAGATCATTTATCGACATTGACGTCACTGAGTCGAATGGAAATCACCCTGCATTTCCCGATTACCGACAGCTAAATCCCTCTTGAGATTTTAACATGACATAAGAAGGACAATTAAGGTTTAGTGGCATGCTGTAGTCATTGTACTACTCATCCGGTCCTATCTTCAGTTTCAGTTTAGCCATTTCTTAAAAGAGGCTGGTGGAGGCAGGGAGGGAGGTAATCCACGTCTGGATCATTGGGCAGACCTCGCTGAACGCGTGCGCGCACACTGAGTGGAAGCAAGAACAAGTTCCTTCGGCGCAAAGTTTTCCCCTCAGAAAGTCAAAATGGCCAAATATAAGCCCTGGGTGCTGTGGTGCTTTATTTTGATCGGTTTTATTTGCATCGTTACGCTCTTGTGCCTGTGCTTCACCTCGTTTCTGGACGTAAGATGTTCCAGCGGCAGCTTCAAGCAAGCGGCGGTGGCCGCAGACTCTCAGATTTGCTCGGAGATTGGCAGGTACGTTTTTGTCTGTTAAAGTCCTCTTTATAGTGAAAAGCTAATCCGGGGAAGAAAAAGAAAGTATTGAATTTGACTGGATTTTGTCTTTTACACTAATTCTTTTTAGAAATAGTAAGGAGGTTTTTAATTATGATTTTATTGTGTGTGTGTGTGTGTGTGTGTGTGTGTGTGTGTGTGTGTTTATAGATCTTAGATACAGTATTTTCATTTTAAGCATGCTTTCATTCATGTTATATGCTGTAAGACTGTGCGTCCTTCTGAACCCAGAACCCAGCTGGCACTCCATGAGGAGCCAGTGTGCACCTTGTCCCACTCAGCAATCTGTCAGCCAACAGTAAAGAAAATAAATAAATAAATAAAAATTTTAAAAAATAGACTGTACAACTTGGACAGGAGGAGATGGTTAAACAGAAGAAAAACACCTCTATCGCCAAATTAAAACTACTCACTAGTAGCAGCAAAACAACTCCAGCCTCACAGTCAGACGCTCAAACAACGCATACCACTGCAACTTTCTACCTTCAGGGTGCTTCACAAATTAACTGACCTGTAGCGCTTACCCAGTGCTGCATGACAACAATTCACAATACTGTTTGACAGA